CAAAGACAAGCTGTAAACAAGAGTTGACTTCCAAAAAGGGAAGAAGCACATCACTGACAATGGACTTGGGAAAGAACAAGAGCTTTGACAGCCTCTTCTTTATTTGCTGAGGAAGACAGGAAGCACTTTCAGGCAGCTTAAGCCTAATACTCCTTTCAGTACAGTATCTCCAGTACTGGCACAGTGCCTGCTAGCATGCTTTTGAGCTTGTGCAAGCAGGCTACCTGGAAAGAAATTCATGTGATCTAAGTAAGGCAATATCACCCCAGGGCAATAAGGAATCAGCAGTGTTTGTATCTCTCATCCTCCATTCCAGAAGACACAAACACCATGTGGGTACCAGGGAATGGCAAACCTTCATGTGCGGTGCCTGTCTTAAAAACAAAGGTCATGGTGCCCTGTGATCTTTTAATTATTTTTTAATTTTGAATTTAGACTGATTTGTTATGCACTGTTCCAAGCAACATTGCTTCTTCAGTGACAACGTCACCTCCACCAATACCTGSTCATATTACATGTGGTGACAGAAAGACAGAAATTTGCAGGAATGGAGAAGTATCTGTTTGCTTCTGTCAGTGTAGAAACACTTCTAGTTAAGTATAGATCCAAAGAAAAGTAAAAAAAAATAAAAATAAAAGATGCAGAGTGGTATATGCATACTCAGCAACTACGCTTCTTGCAAGACTGCACTTGATGTGCAGGAAGCAGCAGTGTATGACTAAGCAGAGGAGATATGCACAACTCAAAAACATGGGTGGGCTGGTGAGGACAACCAGTTGCTGGCTTCTGTTGGGAATATGACTCTCTTTCCCCAAGGCCTGAAACCAGATTTTTAAACATGGGCACTAGACATTCACAAGAGATGCCCAGCTTTGCATTATTACTATATGGCTAACAGTTTGGTCCTACAGCTGTTACAGTTTGTTAGACCTTTGTGCAGTGACATTAGCCTCCTACTTCTGTGCCTTCCTTCTCCACTKCAGTGCTCCTACAGTACAGGACCATTTGTTTGGTGCATCCTATTTGCTATGGAGATTGTGGGTCAAGAGATAAAACCTCTCTATTCACATCACTTCCACTWTGACAGTCCAACCCTTCCCCATTTTCCTATCAAGTGTATCCACGCCTTCAATGTGGATCCCACTTTTACAGCTTGAATTCTTGCTTCTCCCTGCCACTGAACATCAGTCACATTATTCTTGGCTTCCTTCCTGCCCCTAGCTTTCCTCCCTAAAATTTTAGTTTATCCCCAATTGCCCATCTCCATGCCTCCCTTCACCCCCAGGCCACAATGTCTGTTTCTTTCATTTCATGCCACCTCTGTAAAATGTCCTCACCCAAAAGAGTGATTACTCCTSTGTTCATAACAGATAAACTTAAGGTACCCATGGACGAGAAGCCAGTTCCAAGCGGTCGGCTTCACAGTTCTGATATGCAAAACTTAAGGGCTTACCTTAAAAACTGAAAGAGCAATTTAAAGAATGTTTAGAAATTTAAAATACTTCTCTTCAGGTACAATGCAATGCTGTATAGATGGGATTGGGCCTGCTCTAAGTCCAGCTCTTCTGCCCGATGCTCTGTCCTGCCTTGATTGCCTGACTTCTGGGCAGAAACCGGTGAAATCCTACACTGATGCCAGTATACTGCTGCTGATTGCAGTAGCAGCTCTTCTATGACTAACTGATTTACCTCTGGTTTTTACATACTTTGAGGAACTCTTAAAAAGAAACTTTAGGAGGCTTTTGAAGGGTGAGAACAACATACACTTGAAAGGAGCATTTTACTTATTTGGTGATTTCTTATGCTTTATATATTCTATGCTGATTAGCTGKTTTTAGGTTTATTCTTTTTTAGACAATCACTGTAAACAATGTATAAGATAGCATTAACCCAGGTTCAGTCCAGCTTGTTTTTTTTCTTTTCCTTACCCCTTGCAACTGATTCCTGTTGCTCTTTGTAAGGGAGTCAACAGGAAGCATGACACTCTGGGGAAGGATGTGTGACAGCACTAAACTTCCTGGTGAAGCTTCATTCTTTGTTCTACCATAGCCATAAGCATCAGTGCCATGAGTATCCTTAGCTACTGATCTTGTGTACTATATGAGAGAAAGACTACATTAGCAGTCAGATTAGATGCACCATGTACACTGCTTTGCATGGATAAAGAAATTTTGCAAGTTTGTGTTAAATGTGGTTTTAATTATCTAAAAAAAATAAGATACTATGTTAAAGAGTTGGATTTTTTTTAAATGAAAGAAAGAAAAAGAATGGATTATGTCTTTATTTTGGTTGAAAAGGTATCATAAAACACAAGCCAACAGTCCCATGTTCTAAGCACCACAACAGAGAAAATGCTGAGAATGCTGATTTTTATGCATAAGAAAAAGCRATCAAATATATTTACTGATAGGTGAAGTACTTCAATCAGGTCAACGTCATACTTACTAAWGCAACCTCAGATGCATTTTACAATGACATAATAACATGCTTTCCACCCGTCAAAATCACTTTGTCATTCAGCCTAAAGGTCAGATGACAGAATGGCTCCAGATTAAATTTTATCATCCCTATTGACAAGGAGTCAATTCCCACTTCCAAATTATTTGGCTCCCTCATCTCCTTTATTATTCAGCTTTGCCTCATTCAGCAGGCCGCATCTGGAGAATACATTCCTTGTTCTCACAAGTTGCAGAACAGGCAATGGCCAAGGCAGGGCTTCCACATGAATAATGTTTATGAGATGTGCCATGAGTGTTTTATTTTCTTAAGAATTTTACCTAAGAGACAACAGCCAGTTGATTACAAAGCCCGTGGGAGCCAGAAGTAGCTTTGCATTTGTCAGCCTTTGCCCCTGGGCTTGTCAGGTGGTTCTATAAGCCCTTCAATTCAAAGCATTTTAAGGAATGTTTCTTGCAACATATTTTGTTGAGCACAGCCAAGCCTCAAGTGAAGGTTTCCAGCACACTCTATGCAGAGAAATTTTCAGCACACATATTCACTTTTTAAAAAAAACCTTGTAATTAGTACATTTACAGACATCTATGCATGACAATAGATGGAACTTTCCTTTATAGTGCATAAAAAATTACCTGAGTGAAGAATACTGAGTGTTGGATAAAAAAAAWTCACTGGAAGCAGCAAAACAAATTAAGAGATTGACTAGTTTGATTTTTGGGCACCTACCTAAAAATCCATTGCACTTACACTTTCAAGAGAAATTTTTTAAGCCTTCCCCCAAAAATATGGGTCTCAACAAAAGCTTGTGCTATGGCAGCCATGGTGTCTGAAAGGATCCTGAGAACATTYAGTACCTACTATTTTTAATTATATAATGGGAAACTGTTTCATGCCTGAGAAATAAATGCCTTTTCTATACCTCARGGAAAGAGTTGTGCAATCCTGAATGACTTGCCATGCCTAGGCTAGTCTTGAAACCCTTGGTTCCAACCGTATGAGAAACTAAAGCTCCAAAAAGTCATGCTCCCATCACAACCTCATGCCTTATAAGGAACTTTTCTTGCCTGTCCCTGTTCACCAATCCTGGAGAGTTGGAGCCAGTGCTTTGGTGGGCTGCAGGATGGCTTGTGGGTTACTGTTTCCATCTGAACATCAATATGTAGATAAGGCTGACCTGTTGATCCTATAAAGTGAGAGATTTTTTATTATTCTCTGATTGCATAGTAAACCAGAGGAAAACAAGGAAAGTGCAAWTCTCAGTCCTATCTGTCTCTCAGCTGGAACTTACAAACATTTACAGGCCAAATACAGTAAACAAAGACCTGGGSTTCTGGCTATCTTACATCAACAGGAGCTTTTTAATACCAAGTTCAGTTTTATGGTGCACATATTTTTGTATATTTTACTACACTAGAATGGTTTTTATTTTGGCTTTTCTGGGAGAAGGGTGAAGGAGTTGGGCCTGTTCAGCTTCGAAAAGGGATGACTTAAATGGGACCTCATGGGTGCATATAATTAGCTAAAGGGGGGATGCCAAGAGAAGGGAGCCAGGTTCTTCTCAACGGTGCCAATCATTAGGACATGAGGCAAGGAGTAGAAACTGATGCACAGGAAGTTSCACCTGAATATGAGGAAGAACTTCTTTACTGTGCTGGTGACTGCACATGAGAACAGATTGCACAGAGATTGCACAGATTCCACAAGCTGTGGACTCTCCCTCACTGGAGATATTTAAGAACCAGCTGGACACAGTCCTGTGTAATGCACTGACCCTGCTTGAAGAGGGAGGTTGGAACAGATGACCAATTTCAACTTGACCAATTCTGTGATTATGTGAGCACAGGAACTCCCCAGCCAGTATATATTGTTCTTCTGATTTAAATGAAGGACATGCGTGGCTGCTCTTGTTATAAATATTGTCAACGGCTTAGCCTAAATTAAGAATTAACGAGACCAGAAGGCTCGAGTCTGCTATATATAGATTTCTGTAACTCTCCAAGTTGGCCTGTGTATTTCTGGCTCCCCAAGGACTGAATGCACGGCGTTGTGCCGGCGCCTGTTGAGGATGAATTTATTCCGCATCGGTTTCCTTGCGGCAGCAGTGGCAGGGAAGGGGCAGGGCGGGGATCGTGGCAGGGGCAGTAGCAGGGGCAGGGGCTAGTGACAGGGKCAGGGGCTAGTGACAGGGKCAGGGGCTAGTGACAGGGGCMGGGGCTAGTGACAGGGGCAGGGGCTAGTGACAGGGTCGGGGTCGGGGCCAGCAGCGCCGGAGGAGCCGTGCCCAAGCCCATGCCCGTGCCCGTGCCCGTGCCCATCCCGCCGGCCGCCCTCAGGCAGCTCAGCCCTCGCACAGGCCCTCCTCCGCTCTGTGGGGCCGCGGGGTGAGGCCAGGCCGTGCCGTAGCAACCGGGCGGTCTCCAGGCTCCCGACGGCACCGAGGGCGGCCGGGCAAGCGGCGGTGCGGCCGCGGCCGGAGGAAGGTGAGGGCGGCCGGGCGGGCGCCACCGCGCTGGGGGAGGAGAACAGGCGGCGGCCCGATCCCGCCGCAGGGCAGCAGCAGCCCGGCCCCGGCGCTGGCACGGAGGAGTGCCGCCGAGCCGCGGTCCTTCACCCCRGAGGCCCCGGCTTCCCTTCCCCGCCCGTTCCCATGCGGTGTATCCGGGGACGCGGCCCGGATACAGGTGGGCGCTGCGGAGGTGCAGCTCTGGTGAGAGACATTGCCGGGGCCCCCTGTGGTCTTTGCCCCTCTCTCCCCTCTTTCACAGGCCCCGCTGTGGTTTTGCTATGACACCTCTGCTCTGTTTGRGAAGGGACCTCATGCATGTGTATAAATGGCTAAAGAGGGGGAGTGGGTTGCTAAGAGGAGGGAGCCAGGCTCTTCTCAGTGGTGGCAATTACWAGGACATGAGGCAAGGGGCAGAAACTGATGTATAAAAAGTTCCACCTGAGTATGAGGAAGAACTTGTTTACTGTGCAGGTGACTGAGCACTGGAACAGATTGTCCAGTGGATCCAGTCGGGATCCAATGCTGTGCCATGTGCTCTGGGATGACCCTGCTTGATGAGGGAGATTGGACCAGATGTCCCACTGTGSTCCCTTCCAACCTGACCCGTTCTGTGATTCCATGATTCCATTTCCGCAGTGGGCAGTCACCAAACTCAGTGTTCTACATTTCCTTTTTCTGGGGTTTGGCACTTCAGGTGGTGTGAGGCAGTTCTCTGGGCTGTAAGGCATGGGGGCTTTCCTGAGGCATTCCTTCTGTGAAGGGTGGCCTGGTGGAATGGCCTCAGCAAGCATTGCCACCTGCACGTGTTGCACACTCGGATCTGGTGATGGGTGACGGCTTAAGCAGTTTGTTTGTGCTGGCCAGAGCAGAAAGGGTAGAAGTTCCCAGATGAACTCTGGTTCACCTTTTGAAAATAACCTGTTTGGATTCAGGTCTTGGGCCGAAGGTTATCCCAGCTACCGTTTGTTTTGAGCTTGCTATTTCCAAGACTTGAGGTAAAACTCTGTTTCCACTGGAAGTTGCTTCGTCTGCTTTCAAATGCTCCTTTTCATACAGAGATGGCMTATCATGTCCAGGTGTTGTTCAAGCAACTGGGGGTGTTGCTGGAGGCTGAGGCAAGGGAAAATCTGTTGCCATACCCCTGGGCATCTGGAAAATGTGATAGCACCTAGGATTCATTCTCTAATGCAGGCTRCTGCCTCTAATGTGTCTCAGCTATTACCGTGAGAGTGCTGTGGTAGTACTTCTTAATTCTGAGAGAAAAGCGGCACAAACCCTGTRCCTTATTGTGGCCTTTTACTATAGGCATTGTCTGTCATGGCTCCCCTGTGGCAAGGGCTTCCTTTTACTGCTCCGATGCCAAGGCTAGTCAGGAGTTGTGCTGCACAACACCTGGGATGTTAGGGTGCAAAACAGAGTCCTGTTTTTTAAACTCCTCCCTGCCCTTCACACTGTTTGTGTCTTTCTTCATGAGCAGGACAAAGACTGGAATGGTTTATATGTTTTCATATGGCTATTTAAACTCATACGAGAAGAATAAATAGCATATTCTGTTCTGTAGTGAAGGAAGAGGGAGAAGGCTAAGTCTCTGGGTTAAATATTTTATCCCATTTTCGCTTTTCCTGTGGGAAAAACTGCTTGATGACAATAGCTAAGAGCTGGCCTGCAAGTGATTCATAAATGTCCCTTATTCATGCRTCTTACTTATTAAAAGAAAAACCAAGTCAATGGCAAAGCATTATGTCTCAAAGCAATACACTGTGCTGTGTCTTCTTATTCACAGTTGGGCCTTATACCACATTCACATRCATAATTCTTTTTCTTTGTGAATCATCTTGTAGTCTTACAGGCAAAGTTATGAATCTCTTCACAAAATTGCATCTCAGATACTCACAGGTTTAGTCATAAATTGAATTACAGTAAAGGTAAGCTATACTGCAAAACAATAATAGAATATGATACAACTGGCTGACAGCAGGCCAAAACATGACACTCATTTTTCTAGCATATTGGCTCTTTGTTTTTGTGATAATTTAGAGTGAAGGAAGTGGAACAATATTGCCAATTTCCTGATTTTCCATTTTTGAGCTCGTGGATCCCTGTCAAATCTAACTTCAACCTTTCTAGAGATGGGGAGTAGCTGTCCTTTTTATTTTATAATATTTTTTTTTGCTTGAATAAAATTCTGATCTCATCCTTCAGCAGTTTAAATTATTGGAGGGCATGTGGAGGTGGTCTGCAGTTCATACTGACCTCTGGGTGGCAATATCTTAATTGTTTTAAAACATGATGATTCCTCAGGGTTTCAGCATAAAGCAAAGAGGAGCTGCCAGTCAAGAGATCTGTCATGACTTCCAAACCATCTAAGAGACTTTCCTGGAGTGACTGTGAGTATTTCATCACTATTTTTGCATAGATTCCCTGTTTTTCTAGATAACTTCCAAGCTCTGTGGCGTTCATGGTGCTAGCTGAACCATTGCCATTCTGAAGCTGTGCCACTCTCACCTGGGCTRTGTATGGCATGCTGTGCTGGCCTGTATGTATTTTTGGAGAAGGAAACTGGGAYTGACTGTTCAAGCGACTATGAGTAGTGCCTGACTATATTCAAAGCTTGAGCAGCTGCAAAACCTTCACCTGCCTCTCTCTAGAGTTAACATCTGTCACTGCTGCTTCTGCACAGAGCAAAGGAGGGCTGCCAGCCCAGCATCCTGTTTGTAGGACTGATGGCTGTGAAAGAAGTTGTGCCAGTCTACATGGTATAGAAGCCCTCTGTCACTGAAAGATGATTTCTGAAGATAACAGTCTCATTTCCTTTCTGTAGTGTTAACTGAGGAGCTGTCTATCTAAGGAGCCAAGGTTGGTTGTTATAATGCTTGAATTTTGCAGGGAGTTCTGATCATGTGCCATGCTAGACTGAAGGTTATTTTGTAGGCGTTAAAGATGGAAGTACCTGTCTTTGTATTTTGGACCAGTTTGATACCTGCAGTACATATACAGGCAGCTTACAGTATATAGGCAATGGAGGATTGGGAACACTGAATGGTGCTGGTGCTGGGGAAAATGAACAGAAATTTCTAAAGTCCACAGAAGGTAAACTTAGATACAGAAAGGGTATTTAATCAACTAGAGCCAGCTTAACTCAGGCAGAGTATTTTGGGAATGAACAGGAAATACCAAAGTCCTCCTAGAACCTCTGTGCAGAGGAACAGAGGCATATTGTTGTCATTGCTTTCATTTCTGCCTCAGCACTCTGGACTCTGAGCTGCCACTGCTACCAAATGCAAGTGGAGCTAGCCTAGAAAACCATACTTCTGTGCTGAGGTGTGTTCCATGTCCTGTAGAACTTAAAATGAACCTGGACCTTCATGTCCATGATTTCTTGTGCATGCGCATGATCCATCACAGCCCAGAGCAGAAACTGACAGAATCATCACTTACACTTGGGGCAAATGATGTAACCAGAGGGAATTTCACCAGCCTGCAATGAAGTCAGGATCTTCTGGGGGCAATGCTATTGCTTATAGGAGTTCATAGTGCTATTGCTTATAGCAGGAGTTCAACATACAATTTTTAGGAAATACTTGTTTATTGCATAATGTTTCTAATGTATATGTAGTGATGATCTGGCAATCTTTGAATGCYTATTATGTGTTCTGATTCCCAAGACTTAGGAGGGATGTCTTAGAAGCGGAAAGAACTGCCATTTGGCAAACTGGTCTTAGAATTCAGGGCTTGAATTTCAGCRTGCAAGAGACATTGTCTTTCATAAATTGAAGGTGAATGTATATGGATGAATAAAATGATATAACAGCAAGTGGATGTGTAGGACTGAGAGCAGCTTTCCAGATTAAGAACATTATTCAGTATAAAAAGAGGAAAACAAGAGGTGAGCTATATGTGTGCACAGGACCATGGAATACAGGTAGAGAAAGGTGAAATTAATCTTGTTTGGTTTTGAAATTGTTTGGTTAAAATACAGATGTTATATTTCCCTCATTTGTCTTTACAGCAGATGCCTTTGATTCAAAGCACAGACAAGATCCTGAAGATTCCCGTAAGGCTCTCAAGAAGAAATCAAAAGAGAAGGAAGGAAGACTGGCAATCAGTCAGTGGAGAACAGATGTACAATCCCTTATTTCATCTTCTAAATGGCTTCAATGTTATGGTCTCAAAAGAAACAAATTGTCCCTGTCCCAGATTTTGTCCCAAGTTGGATTCCAACACAGGAAAGGTATAAGAAAAATCAATAATAGGATAATAAATCCCCCAACTTTGAATAGTTAAGAGGGTCTCATTCTGCACCTGAATGTACACAGTGGAGATKCTCACATTGTCTATTATGATAATGGCAGAAAAGGAAGTTGTATCCACAATTGTTAACATTGCTGGTTCTGAGAACTGAGAAACTCCATCTCCTTTTGATATGAGAAGGACTTCAGATCTTGAGAATAYCTTTCCTTACTAACTTTACTGTTTCTTTACCCTAGGCTGCAGTTCACATCCTCACCAATTTAGCTGTAGCTGGGAAATAGCTGGTGGTGCTGAGACTGTCAATATTTTTCTTTCGAATAACTCACAGTAAGATCTCTGTCTGCTTTTAGGTGGCAAATGTAATGTATGCCATGCCATAATCTGTGATCTACTATTGGTCATCAGGGTTAGTTAATGTGCTTGGGAATAATATAATATTTCCGGGTATCCAGCTTTAAGGAGAAGGTTAAATTTAATTAGAATTCAGTCTGCTTTTCATSCAAAGTCACACTATGGAGAAATGTTCCTTTGCAATTATCTGACAGCTGGAGGGAAAGAGTTTGCTAAAAATTATTAACCACTGCCATAATGGTGCTTTGCAGAGCATGGTAATATATTATTTTCTTTGAACATCTTGCTGCCTGARAAGTAGGAATTGTAATGTATTGCAGTAGTTCTAAGTTGCATAATTTAAGATTTTGGCTGGCTTGTGTCCATGGGGCATTCAAAGATCACCAGTGCAGTTCCTGAAACCCTGTATGCTGCAGATGAAGGAGAAGCTGTTAAGCAGGGTTAAAGTTGTTACAGTGTTAGGAGCAGAATGTACTAGTTTGGCAGGGCAGCATGGTGTACAGATAGCTGTTTTGTGACGTTAACTCTTCCCACCCCTAATGTTTTCCTATCAGTAGAGATCCTGGAGAAGATTTCTAGCTACTGAAAGTGCAGAGTGCAACCTTTTCCTTAGATGCACTCACTTCTGCACCCATTTAGTTGTGTAAGAGAACAGCATTATCTGTACCAGATTTTGTATTTTGTTTGACAGACAAATATTTGCAAGTCCTGTTGTGAGGTTGCCTAAACCTCACAATAATTAAAGTTGCATGTTGCTTTTTGGCCTCTAAATAATTAGATATGCATCTTTTTCCTAACTTCTGACTAAACTAGCAGGAAGCAGCAAATGCAGGGCTGCTCTATGGGAGGAAAATGAACCAGGAGCCGAAAGGGACTGCAGCCCAGGCAATGTCCTCACTGGATACAGTCCTGCAGCAGGGTGAGGTGATTAACCATGTCTAGGGTCCAGCCAGGGAATGCAGCCAGGAACAACAGGAGATGCAGCCAGAGGCTGAGAGCCTCAGACTCCCATGTTACATGTAAGCAGAAAATAATTGTAAAACAAAACAGAGTTAGAACTTCTTTTAAGTTTCTTAATATCAAGAGCTCAATACAGATGCATGTGCCTCACACATGGATGACATACACATCAGCCTGAAAAACACCTGTTTGAAGTAGTTCCAAAGATTAGCAACTTGATCTTTTGTAAATTTTACTGTAGATTATGTGACCACCTTGGGGAAACCTGTGGCTTCTCGGTATGCAGATGGTCTGTTTCCTCAATACAAGAGAGCACAAGATGGCAGCGTGTATAATGTAAGTGTGACTGACTTGTAACGTCCTATATGCTTAGAAGTTATTATCACTGTAGCAGAATAATATGATTAAAATGCCTTTCTGTGGCATTAAATGCTTACATTGTTTGTGAGAACTTTATATTTTTATAATTTTTAATTCTGTTTTGTCAGACTTAGTAGTAGCTATCGGTAGAAAAGCAGGATATCTTTTTTCATTTCTAAGTTTTAGTGTCTTGCCCTGGTGCAGCTTGCAGTAAATCATTTTCCAGACAAGGCTGCAGTTTCTAAGCAACATCTACCCCTTGAAATATGGAACCGTTGAAGAGAAGATGCTCGAAATGAGTTAAAAAAAATGTAATCAATAAAACAAATGGGGACGCTGAAATAAGAAGACATAATGCGCTGTCTTGGCCAATGCAAAGCAGTGCTTTGCTTAGTGCCAGCAGGTCACAAAAGGCTCAGCCTACTCTATAGAGACAGCTAACTGGATCTCTGCCCAGGCTCATGTTCTAAAGAATGTCTTAGCAACAGCTGCTGGCGGCCCCATTGTTAAGAGGATGGATTCTGATTGAGGAGATGTGCGTGTGCGTGTGGAAGGGAGAGAGTTAATTTATAAAGGATTTTACAAAAGCAAATGCTTTGTCATTTTTTATGATGACTAAAGTCACTTCTGAGGCACAAAGCTTAAAAATGGGTTAAAAACCATTTCAGAGAGCCTTTTYCCATCATTTTATTCCTATAAATTCAATATGAAATATCTACATAATGTCTTTTAATCCTACGACATGTTGTGAGCAGCAGGAAAGACATTTTTGCTACTATACAGGATCTTGTCAGATCTCTTTAGGATATTGAGTATAATATTGTATATAGTTACTACAGGTTAAGAAAAAGCAATTCAAACTAGAGCAGGCACTGAGAAGAGCTGATAGGATGAACTGCAATGGAATGATGATCTTATAAGAAGGCTTGGTTGATGCTGAAATATAAGCCTGAAAGAAAACAGAAGAAGGGTAGTATTGCCCTTGAATGCTACAGAAAGGCAAATTACAGGGATAGGGAAAAGCTGTAGTTTTCTCTGCTAAAAGGCATTCTAGTCCAAAAATAAATGGGTATGAACTGCCATGAATGAAATTAGGCTGGACAGTCAGAAGTTTCCTGGTTCTCAGAGAAGTGGAAATCTGTACTCGCTTACTACAAGTGAGGGGATATTCTAAGAAAACAGCTTTATTTTAAGATGGAGTTTGGTCAGTATAGTGCAATAAACTTCTATGTATGAGTCTGACTGTCCTAAGAGGAAACTGGATTTCTAAGTGCTCCTTCCCAGGCCTACATTCCTTTGGCAGACTGCCTGAGACTCTGTATCTGAGAGGCACATTACAGGGCCCAAGCTGATATTAAAGAACACGGGAAAATGAGGRAGAAGTGTGCAGACTGACACACAAAATATCTTCTCCCTGTAAAATRTTCTTGTATAAAAACCTTTTTATTTCCAAAGTTCTGTACTTAGTCCTGGAAAGGAAGTTAGATGTAGAAGGCAACCAGTAAATCAGCTCACATGGGTCAGAGATATGGGGGGARTCTGTGGTACATTTTTAGACCCACAAGTCATGGTAAATATGTATACACTTACTTGAAGRGAGAATGTGCTGATTTTAATTTTAATACTGAATCTAATTTTTTCTTTACTGAAATGGTRTGGGAAGTTTTAGTTGTTGATTGCAGTTATCTGAAATTAATTTGCCTAAGCACCTACCCACAAATAGTTAATCTGTAATGGTGGGCATTGTTAGTGAAATAATAGTACAAACAAGAAACATTTTACATTTTCCTTTCAAATGCTAAAGACAAGGTGGAGATTGAAGTGCCCTAGAACCAAACCGTATGCTGCCTTATATTGCTGTAATTTTTTTTTAAAAGCTAGTCAAAGTTCTAGTCTAAGAAGGTACAAAGTTTCTGTGTCCTTGTTTGTTCACCCATCTGCTCTGCAGCCCTTTCTACATCCTTGCCTGTGTTCAGCTCATTCTAATTGCTCCAGTTTTGAGACAGACAAGTCAGACAGCCCACTGGCACTGTCCCATGCTCATATAAAAAGATTATGAAAAGCAATTAGGACAAAATGCAGTGCCTTTTCTTTATAGCTTAGATGCATTTGTCAAGGATTTGCTCTTGAAACAGTGGAAGGAAAATGGGTTGTTTTCACTGCTACCTTGGCTGGCATATCTGACACTTACAAACTAGCTATTGCAGCTGTGCTGAGCTTGGGGCTGCATTTGTATTATTTGTTTTGATGTTCAATTTCCTTCTCTCCCTTATTTGAATAAAGCTGACAGCCAAAAAAGAACTGATTCTTCATTTTGTGGATTGTCTAATGGGAGCTATTGAGCTATATAAGCAGCGAATGGAATGGTTAACCAGTGAGAGCCGGCAGATATTTGGAGTGATTCAAGAACAGTGCATTGTCATTGTGTTGGATTTTGGCACTGCAGCTCCAGCTGAATTTGATCTATGTCGGGATGCACTTTCCATGGTACTTGTTGAACAGGTGATTCAAATTGCCAGATTCAACCTCATTCGGTAAGCAGAAATAATCAGGATCATAGAATGGTTTGGGTTGGAAGGCACTTTTAAAGATGATCTGGTCCAGCACCCCTGCAAATGGGCAGGGACACCTTCCACTACACCAGCTTGCTCAAAGCCCTATCCAGCCTGACCGTGAATGTTTCCCAGCATGAGGCATCTCCCACCTCTGGACAGCCTGCTCCTGGGTTTCAGCACCCTCATTGTAAAAGAATTTTTCCTTTTGTCTAGTCTGAATCTAGGTTCTTTTAGTTTAAAACCATCACCCTTTGTCCTGTTGCTACAGGTTCTACTAAAAAGACTCTCCCCATTTTACTTCTTGCAAATACTGAAGTGAAAGTGAGGTTCTATCTGACCACCTTTGCATGCTTGTGTCTTTAGACATTACAGGTTTCTGCCTTGCAGCTAAATGTGCACTCCCCCAAGTGCCATAGGCACAGGCATAGCTATTTGTATTTCTATTGATTTCCATGGCCACAGAAATCAGTAGCAGCAGTAGGAAACAATGGTAGATTTCCATAACAAAACTAGATTTCCATAACAAAACTAGATTTCCAAGAGCTTGTTCCCTAAAAGGAGTAAATGAATTTGCATTTAGTTAGAAGAATAGAAGCAGCTATTCAAATTTTACCTATCTGCAAAATTTCTCATACATCCATTAGAGTTTGAAGTGCAAGCTTGGGTTTGGATAGATGAGTGGAAAAAACTATGCACAAATTCGATCATACAATTTTAAAATTGGTTCCACAATGTTAACTTGCAATTACATGGTGATTCTTTATGTTATTTTACCCAAGCGTTACAGATTTGATTCTGGTGCCCTATCTTAATTCTCTAGATTGTGATACAACTGAGATGTGAAAAGGAGAGTAATAGAATCACAGAAGAGTTTGGGTTGGAAGACACATTAAAGACCATCTAGCTCCAACCCCCTGCCATGGGCAKYGGTGCCTTTCACTAGACCAGGTTGCTCAAAACCCCATCCAGCCTTGCCTTGAACACTTCCTGGGATGGGGATCCACAGCTTCTCAGGGCAATCTGTTGCAAAAGTAGGTATTTTCCAAAGAAGATACTTTCCAAAAAAGGTATCTTCCATAGTTTTTGAGAACAGAGAGCTTTTTCTTTAAAAATTAACTGCAAAGTAAAGTCAAAATTGAAACAAAAATTATGTTCATCAATTGGTTTGTTTTTGGAGGAGGGAAACAAGGAACAATATAGCATATAAATTACTACTTTAAAAGAATCGTGGGAAACATATTTGTCCTTTAGATTTGCATGAAGCTCTTCAAAGTAGTTCTTGATGTAATGTCACAGATACTGGAACCAGTTGGTTTTTAGTTCCTTTCTGTCTTTTTRTGTACCAGTTCACAGGCAAAAGTGCTCATTGGCTTTGTAAATCTGTTCTTCCATTAAGACTTTGGTCTTTTATCAATTAAAATATCAAAAAACTTAGCATCACAAATTTTATTTTTGATGGGTAGCTAAAGATCAGCTCTACTGCAAAAGAAAAGTGTCAGTTAAACTGCTCTAACCCAAAGGTCATGGAGCACATTGTGGAATSAGACCTGTGGAAGAGACTTTTTTTAATGCACGTATTTTAAAAACCTGGTTGTGTTTTTATGATAGGGAGAGTTATGAATCAGGAACTCTTTTTAAAAATACAGTATCTCTCCTGACGCTGCTTTGGAAACAATTGTCTCCAAAAAAATCTTATAAAATTACAATATTTTTCTCATTTTTTCTCTGCTTACTTTATTGCAAGTCTAGATTTAGTACCTATGGTATATTGTAATTATTAGTTAAGATTATAAAAGARTTTTAACAATAGCAGAGCTCCACTGTCTTGTTTTGCCAGCATTATCCTCATGGTTTCTGATTTATAGTTAATCTCATTTTCAGGGCTGCTCAGGATCTTAGGAAGTGGCAACAGAAATGTACTCCTGTGTCTGAGCATACTGTAAAGTCTGCGGTTACGTGGCTCTGGAAGCTGGACCATATGACAGCTGTCAGCCATACCAGCTCTGCTGAAGCCCTGCTGGAAGCCATGGGTGATGAAGCGGTAAGCTCATACATCTTTTCAGAAGCCTCAAGTAAATCCAAAAATATTCAGTGCTAGGCTGGCTGCTGTGATTTGCCGTGATCAGTGTTGCAAAGATAAATATTAATGACAGCTTTTGGAAAGGTTTATTTTCCCTCAAGTGTAGCTGCATACTATGCTTCATGATTGTCTTTTTATGTAAATGTACTGTATTTTGAATGCAGAAACTTGTTTATTTTCTTTTCTAGAGTACCCAGAATAAATAACATTCAGTCGTTAAGGGAAAGAGAAAACATCTGCCCTTCCACTTTCTTTGCCATAGAAGTTTTTCAGGGCTTCAAATTTATAACAAAATTTCTAGTATCARCATTATTGAAAGCAGGGAAACCATTTTTGTTTTGTTCTGTATCCAACTTTCTTATGAAAAGTTATATTTAAAATTCAAAATAGGGAGTACAGAGATTTATGTAGTATTAGCTCATGATAGGGCTATGCAAATTCTTTTCCATCAGCCAGGTGATAGCTAGACTTTCTTCCAAAGAGACAAAGCTTGCAGTTATTCCTGCAATTAAATGCTATTTATTTCTAAAAGYGCCATATTACTTTATTCATTAAAGCAGAGTCACAAGAAATAAAAATTATATGTCATCATTTTAAGCTAGTCACTTAAAACTTGTGTTATTAAAGAGATATTTTATGACATTTCCTTACAMTGTATATTCTTTCATTTCTTTGATACCTGAATTTAATGGAAATTTTGGCCTACTGTCTGCAGTAGAATCATTGTTTTTTACTGCCATTAACATCCATTCCTGTGCACAGATCCAATCTTAACTCCTTTGTAAATCTCTTTCTTGGACATTGCATGAAGGAGAAGGTAAATTTGGTTTGAGTTACCTTCCAGTTCCCTGTGCTGCTGGATTTTCATCCAGATGAGACTTGATGTTTGGAAATGAATATTAAAAATGARCTGAGTAAGGAACAAATTTTTCACCAGTGAATTTTTTTTAATGAATCTTTTTTAAATGCCCCTTCCATAGATTTTATTAACATTTTCAATTTGCAGTATAATGCTGATTTCCTGATGAGTAACTTAAAAGTTGTATTTAAATTTCAGTATTGTCTGGGTAAAAGAAATATTGGTGGGCCAATAGRCAGTCTGGGGGAGTCAATTGTGACAGGTGCTTAACATAAAACAAACTTCTGTTACTCCTAAACAGAGTCATTATCATTCGTTAATTGACAGTTCACTTAAGTGCAAGCTTCAGTGTAGCGCAGCTGGGGAATATCCCATTCAGTCCTAGGCAAAAGTTGTCTACTTACTGAGGAGTCCATAAATAACTCATTCCTGAGAACTGGCTTCATCCACAGTAGTTGCTCCAAAATAAAANTTTTTTTTTTTTTTTTTTTTTTTTTTTTTTTTTTTTTTTTCCCTAGGCATGTCTCTTTTCATTCCTTTAGCTGGTCTTTTCTTCCTGTGCATGGTGACTCCTTAGATTTTTTTGTGACCTGTCAGTCCCAGGCTCAAGATCACTCTGCTGTAACATTGCAATCCTTTGAGCTCTACCTGCCACAAATGCATCCACAGTGTCTATCCTRTAGTTCTGTACAGGTGCCATTCCATGAAGCGTGAATCACTCATCCAAAACACCTCCCCACCAAGATAAAGACTATTAAGGACTGTTCATTTTGTTCTCCTTTCTGTTCTTGTATGAAATTTGTTTGCTTGTTTAAATGCATAAATTACAATTTTCAAAATATGATGGACTTGATTTTAACATTTCCCCACTAATCTATAAGAGACATTTCCTTTGTGGTATATTGCTGTGTTTGTGGTTAAGTACAGTGAATTATCTGTGGTTCACGATTTTTTTTTTTATTTTCTTGTGAAGGATTGGTTCTGTATCAGCTATGCCCGATAAATGTCAGCATTTTAAAAGCTGCAGAGGCAGGCAGTAAATCCCTTGGAGAAAGTGTGAAAATTTCTATTCTTGTTGAATATCAAGTTTATGAATTAATGACAGTCTTAGAACAGAGGGGAAGATGTGAATCTGGAGGAACACAGGGAAAAATGGTTGTGCAATATGCATGCATTCCTCTGGGCCAGGAGCCTCTTCAGCAAAAGTAGCAGGAACATGGTGTTGTCCAAGGGCTGGGTCTCACCTGAGAGATCTGTGCACAGGCTCAGATAGCTTTTTATCTGCATGAGGCAGACAGGGAACTTTGTAAAACTGAACTAAAGCACAGATTGGTGCAATAGTTCATTCTTTTTGTTTCTGTTTATCTTTTTCTAAAGCTAATGAGTATTTTGTTAATCTTCCACTTTAATAAAACAGTCATTTTTCTYTTTACCCTTGGTATTTGTCTAGAATTACCAGTGGTGCTAGGACACCCAGTCAACCAYAAACCTGCTTGCTTCCAAGCAAGTGGAGTCTGTAACTATGGCCATYGCCACCCCCATGGAGTGTCTCATGCCTCTGAAAGATCCAAGAGAAGTTCACGATGGCAAGGTGCTGCTTTGTTAGTTTGCCTGATCCAGCCTGAAATTGGGTTGCTKCTTGGGAGAGACATCTTCCAGAGCTGAGGAAGGTGTCAAAAAGTAGATGATGGAGAAARCTTGAAATGAGAAATATGCCAGTTTTTATCAATAAGTTTATTCTATGGGACAGTAAAGGGATCCTACAGACTGGAGGCTTTGAGAAAAAACTGGATTAAACATGTTCATGTGCTGGACTCAGGGAGCTGGAAGACAAATCAGTATCACAGGCAGTAGTGGAAATGTGTGAGCACACTTGCAGGTGACACTGAATTTGCTTTAGTACTGCTTGAAATTATGTGCGTACAATTATGTGTGTTTCCTCAGTTCCATCCCAGACTCAAATAGGTGTGTTTTGTGGTGCACATCTTGGGATTCCTAGTCATATTCATAGAATCATAGAGTCTCAGAACGGTTTGGGTTTTAAGGGGCCTTAAAGATCATTTATTTACGACACCCCTGCCATGGGCATGGATACCTTTCATTAGATCAGGTAGCTCAAAGCCCCATTTAACCTGGCCTCGAACACTTCCTGGGATGGGGCATTCCTAACTTTTCTGGACAATTGTTCCCAGTGMCATGCCATGCTCATTGTGAAGAATTTCTTCCTTGCATCTGATCTAATTCTACCATCCTTTAGTTTAAGGCCATTCTCCCTTGTCCTTTCGAAAAGTCCCTCTCCAGCTTTCATGTCAGCCCATTTGGGTCCTGGAATGTGCTATAACATCTCCCCAGAGCCTTCTCTAGCTGAACAGCTCCAATTCTCTCAATCTGTCTTCATGAGAAGGGTGCTCCCTGTAATCATTTTGTGGCTCTCCTCTGGATTTGGTACAGCAAGTTTATGTCTTCTTATTTTGGGAGTCCCAGAGCTGGACACAGTGCTCTGGGAAGGGTCTCATGGGTCTAGACTAGAGGGGCAGACTCACCTCCCCTTGACCTGCTGGCMATGCTGATTCTGATGCAGCCTTGGATACACTTGGATTTCTGGGATTCAGGTGCACATTGCTGGGTCATGTTGAACTTCTCATCAACCAACACCCCCAAGTCCTTCTTCTTAGAGCTGCTCTCAATCCATTCTCCACCCAGCCTGTACTTGAACTTGGGATTRCTCTTACCCAGGAGCAGGACCTTGCATTTGTCCTTGTACTTCATGGATTTCACTTGGTTCCATGTCGCAAGCCTCTCCGGGTCCCTCTGTATGGCATCCCTTCCCTCCAGCACATCAGACACCACACAGCTTGGTGCTGTTGGCAAATTTGCTGAGGGWATAGCTGGTCTCACTGTCCATGTCACCAGCAGGGATGTTAAAAAGTGCCAGTCTCCATACCGACCCCTCAGGGACACCATCCATGGGTATTCCACTTGGACATCTAGCTGTTTGCTTCAACTCTTGGGGTGCAACATCCAGGGAATTCCTTATTCATTGAGTGGTCCATTCACCAAATCCACATCTCTCCAATTTAGAGACAAGGGTGTCATGCAGAATAGTGTCAAATGTTTTACTCAAATCTGGGTAGATGAAGTCAGTAACCCCATTGTAAAAGGTTACCAAATTTTCAGGCATGGTTTGGTCTTCATGAAGCTATGTTGGCTTCTTACTTCATGTGCCTTAGCATAGTTTCCAGGATGATACTCTTCATACGGGGCACAGAGGAGAGTGTATTCAAGTGTATTTTTTCAGTTAAACWACTATTTATTTGGTATTTATCAGCTGGTATGTACTATGCTATAGGACTGATACATGTGAGATAGGTGTTTGTTACATTTGTTTTTAATGATGGCGAAAATTCAAGAAACATATTCACCATGAGGATTGTTACATGGATAASTGCAAGTAACATAAAACCTCTAATAATATAATATTGAAGCAATAATTAAAGGACAGTTCTTCAGCTTCTCTCTCTTCTTGCAATACAATTTTCAGAATATAAGTGTGTGTGGTTATAGTAAACCTGCCAACTTCCTTCTGCCTTGGGAAGTATTAAACTTCCCAAAATAAAAATTATTAAATACAAATTATTTGTAAATACCAGCAGTAGCATTCTAATAACCACAGAATGTGCTAAGTTGGAAAGAACTCACAGGCTCATTGAACCCAACTCCTGGTCCTGCACAGGACCATCCCCAAGAATCACATCATGTGCTTGAAAATGTTGTCCAAATGCTTCTTGAACTCGGCCAGGCTTGGCGCTGTGACCACTTCTCTGGGGAGCCTGTTCCTGTGCCCAACCAGCCTCTGTGCCAAAAAAAATTCTGATATCCAGCCTAAACCTTCCCTTWCACAGCTGCAAGCCATTCCCTTGGGTCCTGTCACTGGTCACCACAAAGAGATCAGTGCCTACCCCTCCTCTTCCCCTTAGGAGGAAGTKGTACTGAGGAAGACTGCAATGAGGTCTYCTCTCAGTCTSCTTGTCTCCAGGCTGAACTGACCAAGAGACCTCAGACACTCATACAGCTTCCCCTCAAGGCCCATCTTTGTTGCTGTCTTTWGGACTCTCTCCAGTCCTGTTTAGTATCTTTCTTATTTTGCAGTGACCAAAGCTGCACACAATATTCAAGGTGAGGYTGCATTGGTGCAGAGCAGAGCAGGACAGTCACCTCTCTTGACTGGCGTATTTCCKGACTTCAGAATACATGCTGCCACTAAAACTATATCTGTTATAAAAATTCCAACAGATTTTCAGCCTTGGCAAGTCACCAACATAGCCTGTCTCTTGATGAGAGTGGCATATGGCACAGAGCCTTTTTCTGACTAATGATGCAGTTGTCTTTCCTTACACCTCTCTTTGGCTTCAGTTAACTCCTGTGAAAAGAGGCTTGCCTTGGGCAAAATCAGACCCAGGGACTGTGGGACARTTTCTTTTCTCACATTGAGGAAATTTTGTATGGCCTTCCTAGAATTACTAGCATAAACAAGGGGAAGAACCAAAGGTCTGAAAATCTTACAGCCCAAGTAATGCATCAGCTTCACCAAATTTTCCTACCAATACTGAGCACAGGACAGTGCTTGAATAAGYATCAGAGATTTATGTAAAACAACATTGCCTCTTGTATTCCAATTACCTTTTTTTTCTGTTTAATGACAGGTTGAAGCTGTTTATTACTTTGCTGTGGGTGATGTTCCAGTGGACACAAAACAGCTACTCTTCGAGAAGGTTTCAGATGGCCCTTGTCCAGTCAACGCAGTGTCTTTCAATGCAAGGGAAGATGAAACTATTATTTTTCTGAAGGAGTTGAGCCGCTTGGCCTCTGGCAGGTATGACAAAGAAGGACAGTAAAGATTTCAGTACTCATGAAGTGCTTTGCTGATAGGAATGGTATTGGGACATACCTGAATATAATCCATGAGGAAAATRAGACAAAGAGTTCAGTAAGTGATCTGGGGATGGGGAAATAGTCTTAAGCGAAATGTCTAGAATGCAGACCCTACTTAAACAGACCAGCTTTTTTCCACGTATGTTCTCACTGGCTTGCAGAAAGGCCATTCCCTTTTTATACCCCAAATTGTCTGTTATCTGCCTCTCTCTTGGAGTCTGGAAAACTGTTCAGGAGAAATGATCACAACATAAAATGAAATAAGTTTTCATTATGTTGCTTTGTACATTACAAAGTATCTACAAACCCCAGAAAAAGATYTAGAGTTTTGTTAAATCAAGTGCCATAGAGACATGTACTGAAAAGAGAATGCCTGTCCTAAATGAGCAGCTCATGGAATAACAGAAAATTGATGGGGTGTTATTCTTCAGGCCTGGTTGTATGGAAAAGGAGTTCGGTACCATGCTCTTTAACGTCCTTTTGGTATGATTGCTGGAAATTGATATATTCCACATGGCTTGTTGACTACTTTATCCTGGGAATCAGCCATGTGGTGAGAATCAGCCTTCAGTAGAAAGGGATAAGATGACTTAAATCTTGATTCAAAATAAGGAAAACAAATGAACAAATAGAAAACCCACAATACCAAACTCATGCTGAACAGCAGGAAGGCAGTAGGAGTCAGTAGGTGTTTGTCTGCTTAACAGAAGTCACCATACAGTGACACAGACTTGTGAAATGGCTGCTAGCTCTTTCCGTTTCACTGTTGTTTGTGCAAGAGTGGGAAGACCTCCAACAGTAAAAATCTCCCAAATGACAGCCGAGCAATTGGTAAGATGGCAGCTGCTTAGTTCTTTTATAGCCATCTGTGTTTAGAAATAGCTTTTAGGAGATGGGAGCGTCTGCCAAAAACAAGACTGTGGGAAAGTGTCATGTTTGCTCTTGTCTGATGTGTGTTTAAGATTATTGTGGTCATTTGGAACCATGGTACCTCTATAGTACCAGGTACTTTGTCAGTCAATATTCCTCATTTTCTTTTGCCAGTGTTTTTACCTTCATTAGAGGAAAGTGAATRTTTCTTGTATGGTAGAGACAGAGGCAAAAAGGGTTGTGACAGGGAGCTGGGAGGAATTGTTTTGTTTGATACGATTCTCACTGTCATCTTTTTACATGAGTGTAGCTTTTGTGCAGAGACTTACAGATGGATATTTGCCCAATAACTGTCTAATAGTTTAAATCAGCTCTCCCACAGGAACAGCTAAGTTCGCAGGCTTTTCATGGCTTGAACCTGTTTCTCRTGCAGTTCTGTGTTAAAAACGCATCCTTTTCCCGCTCTGAGAGCTTCTCTGTTTTGACAATGAGAATAAATGAAGTCTGCTCATCATCCTGATTTGTATGTCAATAATGAAATAAATGTTCCTGTTAGGCTTTCAACTGAGAGGATAATCTGATAAAAAGGTGTTAGTGTCATCTCAGACATCTCAAATTACATGCCTGCTCAGCCTCTTAAAAGCATTAATTAAAAATAGATTTCCAGGAAAATGAAAAAAAAGGTGCCTTGCAGTAAGTGATATCAAAATGAAAGAATATTCTACATGAGAAAACTTCAGAAAGTACATAAATGTATATAAAAGATTTGATAATATTAATAATCTTATTGTAGTTGAAGTTTTAGATATAATTCTAAAGTTGTATGTGTGAAAAACATCCCTTAAAAATTAGAGAGTATTTTTGTAGTTTGTGTACTGGTGGAAACTCATTTTGTATTACAGGTTCCATGCTTTTGCTCAGAAGAATGACTGTAGAGATGCTGCTCGACCTGCACTAAAATATGAAGAGGATGGAAAAAGTTTAATTGCCCTGGACTCGAGGAAAGTGAAAGGGCGAGTGCCACTAGGTAGACAATATAAACCCCAAGATTATACTGATATTATCAGCGACATGTCAGAATAGAAATGTAGTATAGCAACTCGATGAGTGTAAAATAAAAAACACCTGTAGGTGTGGGTGAGATGAGAACAGGACTGGTCTAATGGAAATTCTTTGGGTGGGAGGGAGAGGACAAGGAAAAGACAAAAAAGAAAAGATTAGAGGATGTGCATGTGAGAATGAAAGAGAAGTGAAAAAAAGGGAGATAAAATAATTCATTTAGGAACATGAACTTGTGTGCTTATGCCAGTGACCTTGTGGAAATGTATAGAAAAATGGTAGAAAGGAAGAGGAATAGTGTGGCAGACYATATGATACAACAGCCACATCAGTATAGGCAAAGTTCATACACAGTATAAGGGGATTAAATCAACATGAGGTTTACTTGTTTCTTCCAAGAACTCCTCACAAAGACAGGCAAAAAGCACAATAAAGTGACCATAGAGTGGGCAGGGCAAAGTGATGGTGGAAGGATTGATAGAAAAAAATACCAGGAGGAAACAACYAAAATAAACAGTTTCACTGGTGGGTGGACCGGGCTGAAAGCTCGGTGTGTTTCTTATTAGTCACAGTGCTACTTCCTCTGGGTAAGTGTTCAGCRGGACTGAACTGTGGTTTCAGCCCAGTTGGGAGGAGACTGGCTTGTGATGTGAAGTGAGGCTTTGTGTGTCAAATCTGATGTCTTTCTCAGATTTATTTCTTTCTCAGCAGGAGAGTGAAAAAAAACCCAAAAACATTTCTTTTAGATATCAGGAATCATAAGACTTCTTCAGTCTAATGKCTCAACACCCCCCTGCCCCCCTACACCTGTTTTGCTGGGGGCATAAATGATGCCCCAAAGGCAGAAGAGTGTTATCCTCTTCTCACTGTAGGTGTAAGGTGGATTTGGTGGCTCATGTTAAGGCTGTCTGTCAGTCTTGGACTAATTGGTCCATATTTGGGTTGTAATAAAGTTTCTTGTGTACTAACCTGTCCTTTACTAGGACCATGATTATAACAGCACAAGGGAAAGGACCATTGTGGAGGGCCAGAAATAAAGGAGTGAGGTATCACCTGCTTTTTTTGCTTTGTGAAGGGACACTCAAGCTTCACCCATCCAGACTTTCGAAACCGACATCAGAATCTGCTTTAAAACACAACCGTTTCATACTAATGCAGAGCATAATGATTGCCTTCAGTCTACCATGAGTGCTTTCTTGCTGTGCCACATTTGGGGGTGTGCATGAGGGAAGCTGGCTCCCTCTTCCCTCGGGGCAGTCAGCCTGATTCAATAGATGAATCTAGAGCTCCTATATGACTGAAATTACTTCCTCACCACTGTTTCTAAAGCTAAAAGCTGAATAGCTTTAATCGCTCAAAAGGGCAGTAATCCCCTTGAAGTGCATTGTCTGTTGTGTCTTATTGCTATTATGTAGTAGAATTTACACATTAAAAAGGAACACAATTAGCTTTCTGCATTTACTGGGTATTACAAGCACAGTCATGACATCACTGGCAGCCAATTGGAGCATTTCAGTCATGTGCAGGATCTGAAGTCCTTTCAGAAAACAAAACACATTGAAGAATTATTCTGGTCTGTGTCTGATTTCTCTTGTTTCAGAGACTCATTCAAGGGTGTAATAATAAGCAATAAAAATAAAAGTGTTGATTACTCACTAACGGGCTCTGAAACTGGTTCTTGGATGTATGGCATAAACTACACAAGGAAATAAATAGAGAATTAGCCAGAGATTTAATCTTCCAAATGTGGTGTTACTAGAAAATAAAGGGAGAGACAGGAATATTTTGATTATGTTCCTTTTTGTACCACAAATGCAACAGCTGGAAACTGAAACTCATAACCATGTTTTATGGACTGGAAAAGCTGTTTTAAGGGCATCCGATAGTTTCTGGATATCCATGAATATCAGCATTTTGCRAATCTGTGATATCTTCATGTTCACTCCTTTTTATTTGCTTAAACAAAACAAATCAGAAGTGAACTATTTAAAATTTTAGATGAGAACTCAATTCTCCCCTGTTTTGCATGTTAAGCAGTCATTTAGAAAGCAAGTGTGAGAAACTGACAAATTTGAAATTTTTTACACTCATTTTGAGTGGGTGCTTGAGATCAAAACAGGTGTAAGTCATTGAAGATTTAAGGTCTTTATGCTGGCAGCCTCAGATTTACTTATGGCAGAGAAATGCTTTTACATAAAGCCTAATTTCATCAATGTAATAATATCTCCTCATCCAGCACTCATTTTCCTATTATCGTTTCTGCCTACATTCTTTGTGCAGTTTATTCATATGCAAAAAACTGTAGAATTAAGCAATCTTGTTACTTAGTTAAAATTGTAAGTGGAAAGGAGGTGACATTTAAGTTGGAACTTGAAGACATAGAGGGCAAGGAATGGTGGAAGCTGTGGAGAAAGGATGTCTTTCTGGAAAAGGGCACATTTGTATCTGCTTGGAGTAACAGGGCARTAAGTGCTACAAAGGGCTTGAAAAGCAATGGTACTTTGAACTAGATCTTGAAATGAATAGAGGGTCCTCAGTGACTGACATAGAAACGGTAAATCTCTGTGTAGTGGTTTCTCTGTGGTGAAATAGATGAGCTGGCATGTGAGAGAAAAAAAGAAAATGGACTGMAATCAGGATTTTACTGATGTAATAAATCCAAACAGGGAAGTGTCTGACCTCCTTGTGAACTGTGTAAGGCTCTGTTCTTAGTTGTGCTTGATTTTTCACATTTACCTGATCATCACAGGGAAAAATTCAGGTTGTTTTGTGTAAAAAAGGGAAGCTTAAGAGCGTCATTACCCTGTTAATGTACACTGACATGGGAAAGATCGAAGCGTCCCTTTGGAGAGCCAGGATGATGACTGAAGAGTAGCTACTTTTCCTAGAAGCTGTAATAAAGATCACTGCTTCTGGTTTTGTCTTGCATGTGCTTTGTCTAGTCTCAGCAGCCTAACCTTGGCCTGGCAAATCTCTTTGCTAATGTGTAGAGAGTGATGCAGATAGCGGCTCTGCGATACCACATGGGATACAAAGTTCATTTGCTTTGTCCATTTGCCCAGTGGGAAAGGGGCAAGTTTGGGCTGCAGTGAGTTTCAGTGCTGTTTGACCTGGCAGTATGCAGGGAAAAGCTGTGGGACTACCCTATTATGCGCCTTTGTGCCTTCATGCACCCTCCTCTAAGTGGAGGTTTTAAAAATCAATCCCTGAGGGTATATTGCTGTGCTCTGCTGCCACGTGGAGGCTGAGAAAGGGACTGGCAGTGAAGAAAATAAATTTCCCCATCTTCCTTTGCTCCCAAATTCATCTTCAAATGGATCTTATTCCATTGTATTTGGATTTCCTTGCTCCCACATTCTAAGTCAGATAGTCAGATGAGTAAGAAATGCTTCTGTTTTCCATGATTTGTTTTTGTATTGGTATTTGCTTCCTGTTTCAAAGGTATTGTAGATATTTCGTAGGGTTCTTTTTAATACAGGAATTTTTATTAGCAGTATGCAAGTCAAATAGGTTACAGTGACTTGTCAAACTGGATGAGTTTGTTTGCAGGGAGGTACGTGTGGAGAAGCTGCTTCTTTTGAGATGCCTACCAGTTAAATTASTGGGAAATGGAAATGAGGGCAGTTATGAGTTTCCGTGTACATGTGCAAGTGTGTCTGTGGTTTTGCTTAGATCTATCATTTTGCTTCTCAATTCACGGGTGTCAGCAAAATGCTTCTGCCCCTTGCCCCAGGCTCTCCCCACACCCTTCCTCATCCTCTTCCTCTTTTCCAGGGCCTCCCTTCTCCAGAGCAGAAACACCTTTACCTACAGGCAGGGTACTCCTGGAACATTATCCAGTGCGTGGTGCTCTGCAGGGTCAGGATGACTGTGGGGACAGCCAAGGGGAAGTGACTGCACTTGGTGCAGGCTGGACATGGACTGCAGGGTGTTCAGGACAGTCCCCTTGTGTGGACTGGTGGCCACCCTCCTGCCTTTGCAGTGGGGTGGGTTTTTATCAGACACAGGGTGTCCCAGAGATCTGGCTGTTACACAGCCAGGCAGGGCAGCTGGGAAAGTGCTTCCTGGCAGGAGGAACCAAAGAGGGCCCTTTCTCTYCCTGGATAAAGCAATTTTTAAAGACAAGCTTATTCCTGGGACATGGATGCCTGAATGTGTGCAAGAGATGGTGGGCTTGAAGTGGTAGTGAACTGAACCCTCCAAGGGGTGGCTTTCCTCAGTTGGTGGTCCCCCAAAAATTGCACATCTGAGGTGTGAGCAGGGGGAATTTAAGTCAAAGTGAGGTTTGTGCTTTCTTGGTCATTTACCAGTGATGTGTTTTGAGGGATGGGTCACAGTTGAAAGCCACATCTGGAAGATATTATGCCTTGCATGTGTATGCATGTTTTGATTTTGGGGGTTCAGTTTCAAAAGTTTTTCTTTTCCACTCCTCCTTAGCTGTAAGGGAAATGAAGCCGAAGTGGAGGCGCAGCTGAGCTTCTTGTGGAGAGAGAGAGAAAGCTGTTGTGGATATCACTGCTTGCAAGCTTCTCTCCCATTGAATTCAGGAAAAAATGTGGTCAGAAAAAAGGTTTTCTAAGCAACTGGAATTTCATAATGTCAAGTTCTTGGTGCCTGCGCTTGTCCTGTGTAGCAAGTGGCATCAAGCATACTTGCTTTGAAAGGGCGTGCAATTTTACTTTGCTGTGCTGCAAGTATAAATAAGGAAAAAGTATCTTCTCATGCAATAAATCTATCTTAATGGGGACAGTAACAATAATCCTGTAAAATTCATGAGTCCATAGCATCAATTTAAATGGAAATGAAGCAATGATATAATTGGTAATGTTTTAGAGGTAGTTGAAGTATACATATTTTTTCCAATATTTTCAAATATTACATAAAAAATTCATAAAATTAAATCTGGATGACAGTAATTGACAGCTTGTTGAGAATATCCAGATTTAGCTGGAGACAGTGCCACTGGAATTGCATTTTAACAGCCTTAAACTTAGAAATATGTGCATGTGTGTGAATGCATGTGTTTCGTGATTTTAATTGTGACCACATATGTATATATATATAGATATGTATGAATTCAATTACTCAGTGCTCATCAGAAAATCTCTAGCTCCCCAGATGCTGGAATTTTTCCAATGTTCAGATTTTGTATATTTTGCATTTCTGGGGAGAGGTTTCTTATAAAATAAAAATTGATTTCTTTCTGAAGTTCTTCTTTCTTAAGTTTAACAGGCAATGATTACAGACTGYATTTTTCTTTTCCCTTTTGTGTTTTATATTGTGGAATGCTTGTTAAAGCTTTTTGTGATTTAGAGAATGTTGATCTTTGTCCTAATGGCTGCAACAGATGTTTTTGAAATGCAGGAAGGTCCCAGGAGATGGCAGTGTACAATAAGACAATTCAAAATACTTCTTGGAAACTGAAAGCATTTCACAATTAAAACTGAATTCTTGCTTTGTGTGACTTTAATTTTATTATTATTATTTTCAGAAAGTTTATCAAAGAGCAAAATAATTGGGATTGTTTGTTTAATGATAGCCTACTTTAGTGGCATGTCTTTTGTACTGTGAATCATCACTGTATATTAAGTGAACCACTGGATGATAAGATACAGGTTGCCTTGYTCAGCATTTTTATGTGCAATTCATTAATAGGTTGTAATCTGCAATAGGTTGTAGCCTGTATTTGTGGTTAGGATAACTGATAATTCAGGTTTTTAATATTTTTACTGTAACACTAAACACAGTTTCTCTKCATTGTCCTATATTGCAGTTAAACTCTGAGACTAACCTAATTTAACAGATTTTWAAAAGTGATCATGCTGCTTAGGTATACAAGGTATCTAAGTTTTAGTAGTTACTCTTTATGAAATAAATATTTTGATTATTTTCATCAAGAAAAACATATTTATCAAAATTAAGAAAACCTTGTCTCAACTCCAGCTTTGGATTTTTCCAATTTTTTTGACAATATAGCCTCATAATAATTTTTTTTTTTTATAGCATTAGTTTTTGACTGTTAAGAATGTTGGGGATGAAAATAACCCCATCTTTAGCAAAATTTCATCAGATAGTCATCAAGGAATGAAGATTAAAATAAAATTAATTATTTACCTTAGGAAATAGAAAGAGTCAAAAATGTCTTCTCTTTAAAACATCAAAATTGAGTTTAATATTTGGAGCCAGGTTTTTCAATGAAGCCCAGGGGGCAACAAGTGAATTTCATTGTGTAGTTTCCTTATTRTTTTCTGAGAGTGTTAAAATATATTTGCCTCCACTGTGGGAAAGACCTGTGGCCAACTTTGGAAGTTAGTTCCRGTATACTAAGCACCTCTCATGCCCTGGAGCCAGCTTTGAGCCCTTTTTTGAAGTCTATCAGAGAACAGCATTTGTCATTTCAAGAGGACCTCAAGAAAACAAGGTTATGTGGCAGCATCTGGATATACCATTGACTTTGTGGTGATTGAGGAGTTATAAGAAGTGGAAATTGTACAAAAAAAGTGAAGTT